AAAAGCATGACCTGAKAATCTAAACACATTTGTGTTTAGAACTTATTATTGGGAACCATGATTCAAAGGTGATCAAGAGAGTTCTGTTTTCAAATTCCTGCTGGATAAGTAATTAATTCAATGAGGATGTTGCAAGATCCTCTCAAACTTCACCTGTCTAGTCCCACACGAACCTGCTCCTCTTCCTAATTTCTTTATGCTGAGTCTTGGTGATACCCTCCAATCTCTGAGCCTGGAGTCTCTGACTCCAACCTCACTACACCATATCCACCCATACTCTGGTGTCCTCTTCTATCACCTCCTCTGTGACCCATCTTCTGCCCCTGAGGGTTTGTCAYCTCTTCTCCCAGTCCTCCCAGGACTCTTGGCCATTACTCTCACTCCCACCACACCCATGCTAWATTCCTTACCTTCTTACCGGGGAATATGAGTTATGGTGACATAACTCACTTCCAAGCACAAGCTTGAAAAACCATCACATGGTTCTCCCTGAATCCTTTCTCTTGCCAAATAATCAGGGATGTTCCACATGGATCCTCCTTTGTCATCCTGAATTCTCAGGGCAGTGATGAGTCTCCATGAAAAGYTCAAGTGAGCTAGACGTTAACACATACACACCCAATTCTCATGGGTGTCTTGGTACCACAGGACAATTCAACTTTTCCTGAGTACCCTTTTCTGGGGTACTCAAAGTACCTCAGAGTCTCAGGAGTAACACCGTGYGTGTGACAGTGATAATACACAATGCTTAGCTGAAAGAACAGTTGATGAAGTTTAGAAAAAAATTGATGTTGTGCACGGCTACAAATGCGTGAAATTAGACAAAGCCATTTGCCTTTCACCTATTGCTTCAGTTTTCAGAAAACTGCCCAAAGTGATTGCAAACCATTTGCATTTTTGTTGGCTTGGTGGAGAGAGTTGGCAGTATCAAGTGGTTCCTCCTTTAAAGCCACGTCACTGCTTATGTAGGGAACATAACRATTCAGAGAGAAAGGAGTGTTACAGGGAGACTTCTTAGAATGCTGACAACAAGAGGAGGCAAAAAGGGAATGGTGAGTTGTTTGTAAACACTGGAGAAAGGAGGCACCATTGCCCTAGTGTTTTTGACTTTGCGACTTCTTATTTCAAAATTGATTAAAATCCCCGACTGGGTTATACCCTGCTTAGGAAAAAAAACATGCACCTGAACTCTGTGCACCAAAGGAGTCCACAAACTCTTCTCAATAACCTGTGCTCTGGGAATGCTTAATGCTAGAGCTCTGCAAATTCCTTCATCAAAAAAACTCAAAGCATTTGCAAATTATATTAGGAAAGTACACACAGGTTTTTTTATGAAAAAAAAAAATCCAGGTTTACACATCTTATTAGTATTACCAAAGAGTACATCACTTTACAAAGAACGTTCAACTCAATTTTTTTTTAACTAAGTGTGTAGTGAGAGCATTGAACATGTAATTTCATCTTAGAATGTTCCATTTCAACATCTCTCTTATATAAGTAACTTATAAGGTTAGATTTTGTTCCCCCATCAGAGGATTAAATAGTTAAGGGGAGTGGTTGAGAAACTGCACCCGTTTCCTCCAATTTCCTCAAAATGAACATAGCTTCGTGAAGAAGAATGAAGTGAAGACCAGTGGTTAGGTCGGTGGCTTTAAAAAAAAAAAATTCAGCTTTTCTTATTCCAAATTTATCATAAACAATAAAGCCACCAGGAAACCATTAATGGTTGCAAGTTAGTACAGAAAGAAAATTATTTAGGGTGGAAAGAGGGTTCCGTGGTCACCTCCTGGCAACCTCTGCTTCACAGACAGGGAATCTTATCCATGCTAACTGAACCACTGAGTGCCAGGCCTGGACAAACATACCACTTCCCATGCACTCAGAGGCTGGTTGGGAAATATTAACTMCAGGGACAGCCAAATGGCTGTGTACTCCCAGAAAGAACAGTTCCTCAGGGCTGAGTTATTGGGCAAGCTCTTGGACCTCTGTGCTCTCAGGATCTCTTTCCTTATCTGTTCAACAGGGCTGAATCCTGGCCATCCTGCCCACAAAGCAGATACCATTGGGGGAATCAAATTAGATAAATTCTGTGACACTTCCCCAAGTGATGAAGTATGATGTAAGTGATAATAGTCCCGATTTGTTGAACACCTATAAGGCACTATGCAAGCATTACTTTAATACCATAAAACTGCTCGGAAGCAGGAACAATATCCCCCTCACTGAACAAGTAACCCATCCAAGGCCTCACCAAAGAGCATTAGAGGAGACACTACCCTGTATGAATTTATTAAAACAGCAGAACATTTTTAGTATTTTCATGATTTTTTACAATAAATTAAAATRTCCTTTAAATTTCTTTTAATAATAGAGTTGTGTTGTTTTTAACTATTAATTCCCTTCCCTTTTAAAGAATAAATTAATGAGAAAATAATATTATCCAAAACAAGATTCCAATTGTGTGTGTGTGTGTGTGTGTGTGTGTGTGTGTGTGTGTATGTGTGCTGGGGATGGAACCTCAGGGTCTTGCACATGCTAGACAAGTGCTCTACCACTGAGCCACACCATCAGCTCAATCACTTATTTTTTATGTGTCTAATTTTTTTTTCTAAAGTATTTTTCTTACACATGAGAGTATAGTTTTAAAAGGTTGACTTTTTTAAATGTTGAATTTGGGTACATTCATTTCTCTTACAGTCTAAGATATATGTGAATTGAAAATTGAAATATTCCTTTCTGATCAGGCTCTATTTTCAACAGCACTTCATCTGGATAACTCAATGAAATAACTTTCTTATGGAATATAAGAATCAGCCTTTGTTTGGGGGTAGAAATTTAATTAACTGATTTTCCCATTTGTTTTCGTTTTTCAGCAAGTTGTTGCATTTGAAGACAAAGGTCTAGTCTTTTACTATGGAACATGTTGATTTTCTCAAGTCTCAGTTTGGAGGTTAGTGTAAGAGGAAGCTCTAACTAAAAAAAACTGTCATATTTTTGTTTCAACTATGACTAGGATATGTAAGTCTTTGGTGAGCAATTAGCAGTACCTATCTGGTCATTCAATCCTCTCTTCCAGGGATAATGAGGACATCAAGAGTTTTAGTGATTCAAATAGCTTACACTTTGTATTCACCTCCTCCTCATCATCATCAAAAAAAAAAAAAAAATCCAGTCTAGGGGATCAATATGATAAACAAGTAAACCAGAAGATGGCGTTGAAGGTTAGCAATCACATTTTAAAGAAGGTGGCTGTGTAGAGTCTCAGAAAGTCTCATCAAATGACTGTTGTGAACTTCTAAAAACAGAGGATGTGGATAAGTGAGGAACATATTGAAACTGACTAAGCCCAATGCACAGCACACATGTGGGAAAGTGCCAAAAGCTCTACTTTGCCGTTTTTGTCCTTAGTGATCTCCTTCTGTCTGGTATGTTAGTGCATATTTTGGAAAAAGGTAATTCACTGATGAAAATGTAATGCAACCTGAAGGCAGCAATCTTAGCTTTGTTCACAGAGGTGTTCCAAGTGCCTAATAATAATTCCTAACAAATAGTAGGTACTCAAAAAAAAAATTTGGTGGGTGAATAATTCTGAAAGAAGAAAGGAAGCAAAACAGGTTATGACCAGAATTTTTTCTTTGAATGAAACCCTGTTGTTTATTACCTAGACTCTGATAATGGAAAACTTACTTGAGTGAAATAAAAACATGCCATCCTGTAAATTTCTGAGAAAGTCTTTTGGTTTTACAAAAAAAGCATATCTATCTGTACCTCCCTCCCAGTCTTGCTCTGGCCTAAACTTACTTTTTGCTTCAGTTAGGAGACATTGACCCAATATATAAGATTAAAAGAAAAACTGAGAAATAAGTGAAATCAAAAGCTTTTCAAAAGTTGCAAACTGTCCTGGAGTGGTGGTGATCTAAAATCATATAGAAAGTGGAGATCTGACGGTTTACCTGAAAATGCTAAGTAAATAAACATGCTCAGCGAATCCAAGACAATCTGGTGAAAGTTCAGTGGGTGAAAGCTCAGGGAGTGAGTTTTGGAAATCAAAGACAGCTTGGAAAATTAAGTAAAAGCCTAGATCCACTTAAATATTATTCTCATTTGGGGTATTTATACCCGACTATTAAACTGCTTTCCACCAGGCTGAGGTTTAAACTTTATCATTTTTATGTGGGTACTTGGATACTTCGGGATCCCCCCCGCCCTGCATGCTGCCATCTCTTTCATGTTATAGTAATTGAAACTTTGCGGGTCTTGCATGGTCTGAATCACCTCAATTCACCAGTTTAATAGACGAAAAAGTATGCAGGCATTTCAAAGATGTACACAGTATTTGAACCGCGGTTTATGGCTCCAAGGATCCTGGCCATTTCCTATTTTCTTTTAAAAGAGTGCGATGTTCTCTCAACACCGCGGAGAGGCAGGGTTCTCTCTTGACAAAGATGCTCCTCCACTCCTCACTCCAGTCTTCAGTATGTGGACAACCCTGTTACCTGCTCTGAAAACAAAAGTTCTCTTTTCACCAAATTCCTACTACTACACTCCCCCCCCCCAACTTCCCGCCCAAGCCACATTGCTGCCGTTTGGTTGTCACTAGTTATTGACGGGACTCGSGGCAGATCCTGGCGGGGAGGTGAGATCCCCATTTCGCGCCTCGCCCTTCGCGGGAAACGGTCTGCAGTGACAGTCCCAGAGATGGGACGCTCCAGGCTCCAAGTGCGCTCTCCGACTAGAGGAGCAGAGGGTCGCGGAGAGCCACCAGAGTCCCCAACCGGGTCACCAGCTGCCCCTCGCCTCCATCCAGAAGCTGGGGCTTGTTCTCCCGGGCTCGGTCTCCGTTAGCCAGGCGCCCCCCTCCGCGCCGCAGGCGGAGCCTCCCCCGTCCCGCCTCCGCCCCGCCCCCGCCCCGCCCCCAGCGCGGCTTTCAAGCTCTATAAAGTTCCTCTTTCTCACCTCACTCTCTTAGTTTCACCACTTGAACTTGGGACACACCGCTGCCCTCAGCTCCTAGTACCGGGAGAGGTAAGGACTGGAGTGGGTCAAGAGAAGTGTGAGGCTGGCTTGAGAGGGCAGGGAACACAAACTAGAAGTCCCAGATTCCATCTCAAGGCTACGCAGGGGACCCCRGCTTTGGAGGGGGAAGGGAGCGGGGCCAAGTTAGGGAGCTCAGATTCCCACCCCATCTGCATGGGACCCCGGGAGTTTGTACTGCCTGTCCTGCTGCGGGCTCCCTCAGATCCTGGACCCCACTGCCACTTAGCTGGACAGCCCGACCTGCGCCCTGGAAGTGCCAGGCGCGGTACCAGACGAGCTAACGGGACTGTCGGGGATCCAGGAATGGCTGAGGCCGAGCGGTCAAAGGAAACCACACGGAGCAGCAGGCTCCTCCGCGGGAGGACAACCCCTGACCCTATTGGCTCCTTCCCCTGAATCTCATTCTTAAGGGTCCCAAACTCTACTACCGTCAGTGTGTAACTACCGGGCTGAGGAGGAAGGAGGAGCTCCAAATTTGGGCAGCTGGGAGGCCTGAGCGTTACCGCCTCAACCCCTGCTCAGTGCACTCCTTCGCTGCCCAGGCACAGGAGCCGGCCTCGCCTTCCCTGGGACCCTTCTTGTCCCAACTCTCCCTCACTGGTTTGGGTAGCGTTCTGACTCTCAACGCGCGGGAATCTCCAGCTGCTGGGCTGCGCTCCTCCAATAGTACACACTCTTCACTTGTTGCTCAGAGGGCCCACTTAATCCTGGTTGGCTGAAGAGAGGTAGGGTTATTTAAAGGACAGAGTTAAAGGTTGCGGGAGAAGAAAACCGGGTGGGGGTGTGGAGCGGCGGGAGAAGTAGGTGCTATGCACCTGGAAACCCCGAACACGGGACAGCCACGTGCGAGGTCCTCCGCGCATGGGAACCACCAAGGGGGGTGTGAATGGAGTGAAAAAAGAGTGGAAACTAATAGTAAAAGGGGAAAATGAGGTGGAAATGGCTTGGGAGCGAGCAGAGAGCAGCGGAAATGACAGGTGAGCGGGCAAACGCAGTGTCAAGACTGGTGGCCACTGGATTTGGGAGCGTACGAAAAGTTGTGTACCTGGGGAGCTTTGGAGATGTGAAATGAGTTAAATTAATAGAGTGCTGGGAGGTGGGGTGAGCAGACGGGCTGCACGGAGGGCGCGCTCAGGAAGCCGCAGAACTGTGCGCGCCAAGGGGATGCTCCGGGGCCTGTCGCAAAGGTACCTTAGGGGACTTGGGTGACACTGACATTGCACGCACGCGCTTCACAGCGTGGTCACTGCCAAAAGGGTTCAGGACTGGGTGCCCGAGCGCTGTGCAGCGGTGACTGAAGGGCAGCTTTCTTCTCCCCTGCAGCGTGGAGCCAGTACGAGAGGCGAATTCTGGGTGAGCTCCAGGGCGGTGGTCGGCAAACTGGGTATGAACCTAGAGGGCGGCGGCCGAGGTGGAGAGTTCGGCATGAGTGCGGTGAGCTGCGGCAACGGGAAACTCCGCCAGTGGCTGATTGACCAAATCGACAGCGGCAAGTACCCGGGGCTTGTGTGGGAGAACGAAGAGAAGAGCATCTTCCGTATCCCGTGGAAGCACGCGGGCAAGCAGGACTATAACCGCGAGGAGGACGCCGCCCTCTTCAAGGTCACCTGAACGCGGGAATCTTGTGGGCAGGCTTGGGGGGGCGGGGTGACAAAGAGGCCCCGGATTCCATCCAGAGTCTTTGGCCCGGAGTCCAGTCAGTGGCCCCAGTGCAGCGGTTTTCAAAGAAAGGGACTGGCAGGGGAGACAGAATGGGATGAGCCCTGCGGGATAAGTGGCTGGAGCTTTGAAGTTCTCAGGTGATTGCTTAAATGGGGAACTTGGCCCCAATCCTGAGCAAGTGGCATGAGCAATTCCCAGGGAGTCAGTCAGAGGGCTCCAGAAGTAGGGATATCTTTGAAGGAGGCAGCCTTTAGAGGGCTTTGGGTTGCTTCTCTGTGACTTCCTCTGTTTTCATCCAAATCTCAGGCCCTATCTCCAAATCCCTGTCTCCTTTGGTCAGTGTAAGCCTCTGACTCTGTGCATCTGTGGGTGCTCTTATCTGTCTCCCTGTTTTTCTGTCTCTGTTTCACTTTTTTCTCTCTGAGTTTCTCTGGTTCCCACTCCCCCACCCCTTTGGTCTCTGCTCTCTGGTTCTAGCTGTCTTTGAATGCATCCATCTCTGTTTCTCACTTTCTGTCTCAGGGTATCTCTGTCTGGCTCTTTTATTCTAAGACTCTGGAAATTTCTCTCTCTCTCTCTCTCTCTCTCTCTCTCTCTCTCTCTCTCTCTCTCTCTCTCTCCTTCTTTCTGTGTGAGTGCCCCTGTTCATGACTGCTTTCCCCTAGAGCACTTTACTCGGTGAACTGTGAGACCCAGCCCCCACCTGTGGGCAGGGAGGGGAAGGGGACTTCCTCTGGGAATTTGTTCACAGAGTACTTCAGACCTTGTGACTGTCCAGATGTACCCTGTGGTACAGCTCTGTCCCTAATCTCAGCCACACTTGCTTCAGGGGCCTCCAAGCCTCATCCCACCTTTTATAAACACCCAGAAATGTTGAAACCACTCACCTTCAATTTGACAATGGTAGGGTTCTAGGTGAGAATATTTTACCTGGAGGACACCTGGTGTCATTACCGTTCACATTTTGAGCAACAGTATAAATCTGAAGCACTAAGCAACATTTTTTTTTYYTTTWRRAARRWTYYTTWAAAAAAAAAAAAAAGAAAGAAATTGACTTTTCATTCTCTTCATTCTTTCCCACCAGGCTTGGGCTCTATTTAAAGGAAAGTTCCGAGAAGGCATTGATAAACCAGACCCTCCTACCTGGAAGACACGTTTGCGATGCGCTTTGAACAAGAGCAATGACTTTGAGGAATTGGTTGAGAGGAGCCAGCTGGATATCTCTGACCCATACAAAGTGTACAGGATTGTTCCTGAGGGAGCCAAAAAAGGTAGGGGCTTTCCTGAATTTGGGTCACAGAATAGAGACAGCCTGATACTTATAATGCCTTAATTTCATTCTGAAGGTCACTTTCTATTTTTGCTTTTATATAGCCTGCTGCCTCCTGTCCCATGGTCAAGCCCAGCAGGCTCCTTCCCCAAGTTCTCTGGGTTATAAGTTGAAAACCCTGTGATGTTACTAAGGAATAATTTCTCAGGCTCTAACCCTGTAACATTATGTGTGTGCACACACTTCAACTGTGTATTTATCAGTTAGTCCATTCAATTATAGTATGAACCAAATTTCCAAACTTGAAGACCCATTAAAACTTTACTTATCTTAATAGACTTTGGTAAGTGGCATTTTCCAGAAAGGAAAGCATATGGAACATCCTTAAATTGTTACTGCTTACAGTAATAAAAAGGTCCACTTTTGGAGGATAATATAGTCAGCTGGGGTACTTACTGAGTCAGATTCCTGGACAATTCTTTCCAAGATTCTGACCAGTGTGTCCAGAGCAGAGCCCAGAAATCTGCAGTTTATACAAATCATGACCCCACCTTGGATATATCTCACCAGAAGAGCCCCTTAGCTGGTCACAAGGCATGTTAGCACATGGATCTCATTTATTTCTCTACCTGTCATACGTATGTCAGATCTTGTTGACATCTGTTCAAATAATATGAACTGCCCAAAGGAATTGCTAAAAATGCCTTATTTGTCAACACTGTGTGCTATGCATTCTAAGAACTAAAGCCTCAGGTATTTTTCCAAGATTTGACGTTTAGTTGAATCAGTTCCTTTTTTCACTCTGTACCATTTCTCTTTTCCTCAAACACACAGGAGCAAAGCAGCTCACCCTGGAGGACCCACAGATGACCATGAGCCACCCCTACCCCATGACGGCACCTTATACCCCACTCCCGGCCCAGGTACAGGGGAGGGCACTAAGTCTCTGGAAGTCCAGCCTGGGTCTGTGTGTTGGCCCCACACAGAGGGGAAGAAACACAAAACAGCAGGACTTCATGTTTTCCTTGACAAGTCCCACAGCTAAACAAATTTCCTTGGTGGCTGAGTGAATGTCTCACCACACAGCCTAGATTACCAGTTAGTTTAAATAGGAGAGCTTGGGTGTGTCTTGTCTGTTGGAATATGCTTCTTCTATTGATTCTCAAATCTTCTGGAAACCAGACCTTTTGTAGTAGTTGAAGATTTTGGAAGTTGTGCTTTATCATGTGAAACCACAGGGCAGCTGATCTCTGTAGGCTTTCCTGATTTGAATTACAGCTCTGTTTTCTTCACTTTGGTGGGTAAAAGAAGGCAAATTTCCTTGCAGTATTTTTGGTGCCAGTCTTAACCATATGATGAAGCCTTAGATAAATCATCGCTTTACAACACTGTCTTCATTGTGCTTWTTGAACTTTTGTGACTGTTTTCCACCTAGTGTAATGAACAGCTCACTCCAGTCTTTTCGAATGATAAAATGAGTTGGCTGCTGGCCAAAGAAGGGGTTCCCTGAGAGTTTGGGAGGATATAAAAGCACCCCCTTTTCCCATGCCAATGTTTTTCATCTTAACTCCTCTTGTGTTCCTTTAGCAGGTTCATAACTACATGATGCCACCCCATGATCGAAGCTGGAGGGATTATGTCCCCGATCAGCCTCACCCAGAAATCCCGTATCAGTGTCCAATGACGTTTGGTCCCCGTAGCCATCACTGGCAAGGCCCAGCTTGTGAAAATGGTAAGGCATGTGCCAGGGCATCTGACAGAAGAGCAGACCTAGACATGTGTCCATGGGGAATTCCGGGTGGTTGTCCTGAGCAACACCATAGGGCTTTCCCCTTCTCAGAGATTGCTAGAAAGATTTCACGTGTATCAGATGGCGGGGGGGGGGGGATTTCTCTGTCCTATAGGATGCTAAGTTCCTCAGAACCAGATTTTTCAGGACCCATGTGGCATAACCCTATGTGGGGCCTTAAATACCCCAGAGATTATTCCAGGCATCAAAAACTGCCCCCCCCCCCCACTTTTTTAACAGAGAAGATCATGGAAACTCGTAGAATGTAAATAATGTGCCCAAGTCACTCAGTAAGAGTAAAGGGCTGGTGTTCAATGTCAGATATCCTAAGCCCAAATCCAACCTTGTATAAAAGACAGGGGAGGTCATATATCAAAATGGTCATCTATATATTTTTAAATTATCTGGTTAATGGGTTAACAATTTTTTTTTCATCCTGAGTAACCTTAAGTTTTATTTGTAAGCTTAGGCAAAAAAAAAGGGGGAGGGATAGATTCTGGCCATCTCACCTCCTGAATTTTCTCATAGCTGACTGAGGTCACATAATCTCACTAGTCTGTTTCTGTTTACCCATCTGTAAAATGGGCATACTACAGTCATGCCCAGATCCTCTCCTCTGCAGGGACACTGGGAGATTACTCTGTGTCCCTTGAAGAGTAATTATGTTCGTTGGAGCTGTTCTTGGTATTAAAAATGATAATAAGAAGGGAATAGATAAACACTACAAACAAAACAAACAAACAAACAAAAAACCTAATGGGTCTTTACAGGAGCCTGCCTAGTATTGGGTCCCAAAAGACTTGTGTAATTTGGATTAGATGTGTTCCTGTGACTACAGGGTTTCCTCAGGCATCAAAAGTGAAATCTTTCAGCAGAAGCACTCATTAGCTATGTACAGAGAAAATTTCACAAAGTATGTTCAGTGCAGCAAAATACTAGCTTTTAGGACTTTTGAGTTAGTTATTTAAGTAGAAGTCATGAGATGGGTCCACACTCTGATCCTTTTGTGTTTTCTGGGAATATTTACTCTTTTACAATTTGGTCTTTCCATCCCTGCTTTTCCAAGTGTGTTCAAGTCATTCTTGGCTTTTGGTACTGAATAAAGTCTGTTGAGTAGCATGTTCTTTAAAGAAAAACTTGGGATTCGATTATATTGGCTTTCTAAGAGTAATATTCAGCAAAGGTTGATTTTTCAAACTGTAGGTAAAGAATCGGCTAACATTAAACTGATTTCTGAAATTCAGACTTGTATCCAATGCATCAGACTCTGTTGAACTAATAAGCATAGCAACACGAGGCAATGTTTTGAACTGGGCAAAAAAAAAATGGAATGTCTAGACATATTTTTAAGCATGGGTAACAATAATTGAAGTGCTAGCATAATTAGGTTCTGTGACATACTCTTTCTCTTTCTCTCATTTTTTTTCCCTTTGTATCTGTGGTGTTGGGATCTACTCAGTGACAGAGCACTGTACTAATGAGCTACATCCCCATCCCAGCATATTCTTTCTCCATATGTTTTTAATGTGACACATTGCTACTGGGCTGGCAGGAGATGGGTTCAGTTTTCTCCTGAACCCAGAAGTAGCTAGTAAAATAAATACAAACAAACAAAAAACCTAATGGGTTTTTAGTTTTTAATTGGGTCTTTGGTAATCAAAACTTAGGCAGACCTAATCTCTCAGTCAGCCGTGAACTTGCTTTGTGAACAGGGTCAAATCCTTTAACCTCCTTCTGAGCCTCACTTTCCCTGTTTATGAATAAGAGGGAGAGCTCTGAGTTTTCTTCCAAGGCTGTACAATGGCTCATACCTCCTTTGACTTGCTTTTTTTCGATTGGACTTTGGCTTATCTTTGCCTCATGAGTATGTGCCCTGCATCAGAGGGTGCTTGCTTTGAGCCTGTTGGGTTTGGGTTAGAAGGTGACTCCATTCCATACTCCATTGCACACTCAGGTGGCSTCCTAATTATTGGACTCTGTGTTTAGACATCTGATTTTTATTTGCAAATGCAGGTTGCCAGGTGACAGGAACCTTTTATGCTTGTGCCCCACCTGAGTCCCAGGCTCCTGGAATCCCCATAGAGCCAAGCATAAGGTCTGCTGAAGCCTTGGCGCTCTCAGGTGAGTGCAATGTTGGGTTTTGGAGGCACCTGCAGGAGGCCAGTCTCTGCTGCTGGCTCCACTCACCTTTGGGTAGATTTGGTGGGGATTTAGACATTTGTTTGGGCCCACTTGAGTCAGGAGTAGATGTGGACACATGTTATCACCAGACATTGAGGACACTGAAGTGAATAAGGTACATTATTAGAAAGCCAGCTAGCTTGTCGTTCTGATACAGATCCAAACACAGGTTGAATGGAAAGCATTTTGATTTCTCCAATGGCACCTCTCCAAATTTCCAGGAATATGCAAATACTTGTTTTTCTTTACTGAGAGTCCCCTATCAGCTGACATTCTCACAATGTAGAACATTTTCTTAGGAAATATAAAAGCTTCTCATTTCAAAAAGCTGTTAATTTCTTTTATGTTTAGCTGTAAACTTGTTGTCCCTAACTTGCTTCCTGAGGACATTGGTTCTAGCCCCTGGTCTCATGATGCTTCGTATGTCCAGAAGGAATGCATATTTTGGTCTTCCTCTGAACTTTGATAGGACTTCCAAACAAATACGGATTCAATCTGATTTGTAAACTTCCATTTCTAAAGAATTCCTACACCACAGAGAATGTAGCTCTTTAAGGAAGATGCTTCATGACTCTTTGTCTATGTTCATTTATTCTTTAGATAATATTTTAATTGTTTTTAAATGGAATTTGTTTTTACATTAAAAATAAATAGCTTAAGCTTCAGGGTTCTCACCTTGTCCTCTGACATCTTTAAAAGTCAGTGACAGAAAATACAAACGAACTTCTAAAGATTCAGGAGACCAGAGTTGAGGCGCTTTCCTTGTTCACAGAAAAGCTGCAGTGTTACTGTCTAGTTCCTTGCAGTTCTGAAGTTCTCAGGGAGGTGTGTGCCTTTCTTCTGAGATGCTCATGAATAACTGAGGATCCCCTTTCGGAGGAGCCAGTTCTAAGCAGCAAGAGTCGTATTTGTTTTTAGAGTCTTTCAGATTTTTTTCTGAGCACCTCAGACTTGTGTGGGTGCCTGAGGAGTAGGAAATAAACAGCTATTTATATCTCTGCCACCCCGTGATTTCTGATGACATTAAATGAAATGAAACCTGCCCTGCCAGTCACCTCCAATGGCCAACACCCACTCTCATCCGTGCACCACCTTACTCAGTCTGTTTACAGTGGCAGAAATTGAAGAGACAGTGACGTGGGTTAAGAATCAAAATCTACCTTTGAGGAATAAGAGGGTTTTGTGGGTTCCTTTTTTTTTCTTGGTATGCATAATACAGATTAATGATCAACCTTGAATACATTTATCAGAGAACTATGATCCCAGTCATTGTTAAATCCCAGGCAGTCACCTCTGGGAAGCTGTCTCCTGCCTGGGTTGCCCTCTTATATTTTATTTAAGGAACTCTTTGCAAAACTAACTGGGTCCTTTAACCTTTTGGGTGGTGTTCTAAAGAGGGTTCTGAAAGCAGTAAAACTTTTGTAAATGAATTAATTTTTTAGTTTCAAAAAACACAGATTTAGAGTTCTTTTTTAAAAAATGCAAAGAATAGAGGAATTTAAGCAGATTTTACATTAACTGTTGGCTCTTAGAGAATTTTTTTTTTCATTGATTCCTTTTTTAAAAAAAAAAATTGCTGTGCAGGGGATTGAATCCAGGGCCTTGTGTGTTTTGGGCAAGTGCTGTACCACTGAGCTACCTCCCCAGCCTAGATGCTTTTTTTTTTTGCCACAAGAATTAATTCTATGATAAAAGAAGTACATACCCACTGTAGAAAACTAATTTCAAGATTAGAAAAACAAAAAAAGAAAATGAAAATCACCTTCTATCACTTAGGAATCACTACACTTAGGGCCTTCCTGCTGATGCTTCCAAGTGTCTATGTATATATATTTACCTAAAAAATGTCATATTAAYAATTTAGGAAGTTTCAGATGTTGGATGTAATTGCTTTTTTTTAAATTCACACACACACACACTCACAAACAAACATTTGTTTGGTTTTTGCTAGTAGAAATTAAACATATTGTTCAACTCCTCCAAAGTCAAAATTGATTTACTTAAAGATGAATTCTCTTTCAGTGACACATGACTCAGTATTTTAGATGTAAACATGGTCATCAGTATCATAATCAACTTCATCTAAAAAAAATGACTTTTGTAAGTCTTTCTTTTAAGATATTTTAATTTTTGTGGTTCTGGCAATTGACCCTAGGGTCTCTCTCAAATGCTAAGCAACCTGAGCTGCATCACCAGCCTAGAGTTTGTAACTTCATAACAGAGAGGCTTTCAGATATCACTTAATCATATTTTGCAGAAAATTAATGAAGGATATGCTCCTCCAGCTCTTGAAATAAAAAAGAATCCATGACCACATATATTTGGAAGCTGCTGGGTTAGACAAATTAAGTAGGTGTCTTTCTGAGGGCTTCTCTAAGTAAAACATGCTCACCGGGAATCTCCAGCAATGAGAGAAAGACACGCAGCATTTCCTAGATATTCTTGACCCTGAAATATACTTGTTCATGGTACATCTGGGGAGACTCATATTCTACCCAATATGCTTTGTTTGGGGCAAGTCGATTGGTGGGTCTGATAGTACTGACTCCTGAGCTCTGTGTTCGCAGACTGTCGACTGCATATCTGCCTGTACTACCGGGAAATCCTGGTAAAGGAGCTGACCACCTCTAGCCCTGAAGGCTGCAGGATCTCCCACGGACACACCTACGATGCCAGCAACCTGGACCAGGTCCTATTCCCCTACCCAGAGGACAATGGGCAGAGGAAGAACATTGAGAAGCTGCTGAGCCACCTGGAGAGGGGTGTGGTCCTCTGGATGGCTCCAGATGGACTTTATGCCAAAAGACTATGCCAGAGCAGGATCTACTGGGACGGGCCCCTGGCACTGTGCAGCGACCGGCCCAACAAACTGGAGAGAGATCAGACCTGCAAGCTCTTTGACACGCAGCAGTTTCTGTCAGGTAATGCACTTTATGTCTTCTAGAATGGAGGTAGTGGTGGCATGTGACCGCAGGAGTCAGAAATGACAGGTGCCTCCTACCCCAAGCAGAGTTCTTCTTCCTGTTAGCCCCAGAGCCCAGTGGGCTTTGTTCCAGAATAGGTGACTTGACTGGTTCACAGGTCCTCTCTGCCTCTATCATCTGTCCCCCTCATTGCCAAAGAACGTCTGGATGAGAAGGCCCAGGTGGACAGTGGCTCAGGCTGATATCTCAGGGTTTTGGTTTTCAAAAGTAGTCACCTCTTAACAAGGTTCCGTTTTGGGGGGGCCGGGTTGATCTTAATAAGCTTGATTGGTGATGTTTCCGGGTTCCTAGAAAAAACTGTGAAGRTTAGAAGCATACTGTTCTTGGTTATGAGATGTGTCATCCTTAAGCACATGCCGCCCTGCAGGTGGGACCAAGGATAGGAGTGTACTGAATTGATTTGTCAAGGGGGAAATGATGGGAAGGTTTTGTATTTTCTCTGTCCCATGAGTGTTTCTAATCATATTTTCCAGAACCAGTGTGTTTTCTTTTCCTAGTTTTGATTTCATGTCAGTTAAAATAGCCCTGGGTGGATTTTTGGGAAATCATTGAACATGTCATTGTGGGGACCTCATACAGTGTTCTATTTGTTGTCTAGATGGAGGATGCTTTGGGGACAGGAGGGCTGCTCTGCTTGCCAACTCCTTGATGGTTCTTCTCTTACCTTATCTTAAACTTATTCTTCCACTAGGTCCCCCTTTCAAAATACCTCATGTCTTTGTTTTTTAAAGTGCCTCCCTTTTCACCAAGCAGACTSTCCTGCCTGGCCCACTGTTTTGAAATATTTCGCATTGTAAAATGGCTAGATTGAGCCAATTAACATAGATAGTACCTCACATATCTGTCATTTTTTTGCTGGTGCGAATTCTACTTAAAACTTCAAGTACATTGTATATAAAATAGTTGAACTCAGGAAAGGATAGAGTTCAGCTACCATAATTAACTATTGTCATGGTGCTGKACGATGAACCTCTTGAATTTAGGGCTCCTAACTGAAATTTTGTGTCCTTTTACCTCCATCTCCCTCCCCTCCCCCAGCTTCTGAACCACAATTCTACTCTTTACTCCTGTAAGTTCAGCTATTTGGGGTTCTACATATAGGTGAGGTCATGGGGTTCTTGATCTTATCTGTTCCCGGCTTATTTCACTTAATATTTCCTCCAGGCATATCCATGTTGTCACAAATGACAGGATTTTATTCTTTTTTTTATGCTTGAATGGTATTCTTTTGTATAAGTATGCCACATTTTCTTTATCCATCTGCTGTTGGACAGGTCATTCCCTATCTTGACTATTATGAATAATCTGCAGTGAATTCAACATACTGATTTCATTCCTTTGGATATTATTCAGAAGTAGTGGATTGCCAAATGCTGAACCTGCCTCYTGAAAAAAAAATATACATATGTATATATAATGTATATGTAATTTATATAAAAATATATATGTAAAGACATATATTAAAATATAAATATATTAAAATTTACATATGTGTATATGTACATATAAGCATATATATATATATCACCTATGTGCCATTTACATGACCTTTCTGTTAAAGAGGCCCAAATTTGTATAAACCCATCCAGATTATTTTTTGGTACCCAAAACAAATATATCCCTAGGTAATCACCCTTCCCACAGAGGTGGGACACAAGGAAGAGGAAGCACCATCTCTGGTTGTCTGAGGTAGCTGYGGGATGATGAAGAAGACACATGAGATTGGGATACCCTTTGATCTAAGAGCAGAAATGTCTCCAGGCTGGACCATCCTCACTGTCTTGGGTCTGGCATGGTATTCATGGTGATGGGCAGGGGAAATACAATGAGCCACTGACAAGCACCTGTCTATCTCTTATGTCCATCTTGTAGTCTGAAGGGTCATGTATCCTGGAAGGCTGGCGCTCCCTAGGTTGGGTTTTCCTAAGAGATTGCAGATCTTGGCATCTTTAGATTCAGAGGCTACCCCAGGGTGAGGGCTTTCTAATTAAGGCATCCTGGAAAAAAAATGGCACATGCTTCTCTCGGTTCCTCTTGMCATGCCTGTTTTAGGGAGGTGGAATGTCTTCACTGTGAGCTGTAAGGTACACTTTGAGTCAGAGCTGACAGGTGAGAGGTGGCCACAGATAAGAAGCTGGAGCAAGAGTCGAGTGAGTGGGTGTCCTGAGGATGTGAATTTTCTTGCCTAGAATTTCATATTTCGTATTTATCTGTGAGCAAGAATCGTTCTTTTTTTTTTTTTTTTTTTTTTGTCTTCCTTTGTAACAGAAGCCTGTGCTTTTTGTCCACTGCAGCCTCTGAGGTTCACTGAGGTTCAGGAAGGATGCTATGAACTTTAAAACTGCAGCTGTGCAGACTAGCTTCTGCATAATTAAGGATTCCCACTGAACATTCTTGTATTAGCAATCATTTGAGGCCTGACTTTTTCAGAGAATTATGCCAACTTGCCACTCTGATTAACTTGTGTAGGTGTGCTCCCAGGCCACAACAGTGTGAATGTGTTTTACACATTCTGACTAAGTCAGTTGAGTTTGATTAGAATTCTGGAAGAAGAAAGGGGGAAAAAAACAGAGCAGGAAGTTAAAATAGTTGTGTGAGTTAGCTAGAAACCTTAGTTGCAGAGAGCAGTGGAAATCTTTGATATCTACCCATTCAGGATTTGTACCCTGCTTAGGGACAGTCCCGAAAGGCATGGCCTAAGGGTGTGTATCTGATAAGGATGCATTGCTTTGCTGCTCTGCAGAAGCCTTAACAGCTCCTGTGTAAATTCACTTTTTTTTTTTTCAGACATGACATTAGACTCTAGAGTTTTTCTTTGAGTCTGGGTAAGGGGAAAAGAGTTAATGCCAGGGACTGGATGATTTGACGCATGTCTGTCTTTTCTTTTTTAAAAATTCTTCATTTAATTTTTTTTTATTTGGCTGAATTGGGGATCAAACTCAGGCCCTTGTACATGCTAGGCAAGTGCTCTACCASTGAGCTACACCCCAACCCTGGACACATGTCTTTCCAACAGTGTTCCTATCTGTTTTATATTGTTCAGATAGGAGCAGTGGCTTCAGGACATGTATATCCACAAGAGGGGTGGCCAGTGGAACATCATCATACCCTTTTCAAGTTATCATTCTGTCCTCAAGGGGTGCTCAAGTCTGCTCAGCRTTCCACAGTTTGGGGTTCACACCTAGTGCCAAGTGGGACAAGCTGCTGTTAGCAAGTGTCTGAGCCACGGAGATGTCACCAGTAGCACAGACACTGGATTCATGTCTCTTTCATAGTCAAGGCATGAGTTTTTAAAATAATTCTGGGATGTTGAAACATTCTGATTTTTTTTTTTTTAAAATGAAACTGTCTTCTTTGTATAAGACATTATTCTTTTGCTTCAACATGACATTTCATTTTCATGACATTTCATTTTCTTCTTCACCCTCCTTCTCTCCTCTCTTCAACCACTTGCATCCTGATGGGTTTGGTGCTGCACCGCAATGCTCTTCAGCTTAGGCCATGTTCCCCTGAAAGAATGGAGGGAAAATGACGAAACCCACACATATGTGAACTTGTACATGTGATTTTGTTTCTGGAGTCTGCATGATAAGGAACCCTATTTAGGGAAATGAAGAGTGACTGTTCTTCTCATAGTGAAGAATCACAGAAAGCCCTTACTTCCTGTTTAACCTGGTTTGCTTTTGTGGGTTTCTCAGAGCTGCAAGCCTTCGCGCACCATGGCCGTCCCCTGCCAAGATTCCAAGTGACCCTGTGCTTCGGGGAGGAGTTTCCAGACCCTCAGAGGCAAAGGAAGCTCATCACAGCCCACGTGAGTCTGCAGTTACATCATCATTGAATCGAGTTTTCCTGTTCTTGAGGGCAAAGTGCTACTTAGAGAAATCTGAAAAGTAAATGTCAAACCACCTGGGAAAATAAGTGGAACCCTTAAAATAGAGGAGGAAGCATGGTCCGGTGCACAGCAAAGCCCAAGGAACCACGTGCTGTTTCCACCCTTGAGACCCACTCATCACAGAACCAGGGCACAAAGCTCAGACCAAGGGCTCCACTTGTCCCATCTTTTTTTTTTCCTTTCTTTTTCAAATTGTCATACTCTCATTTTATAGGGGTTTTAAAGTATTGATACTCAAAGTTGCCCTTCARAATTCTCCATGCCTAATAGGACTTTAAAAATACTGCCAGGTTAGTGGATCTTCCCTGGAGAGAGAAATTTTTCTCCATTTAGGAAGCTTTCTTTCATTTGTGTATCTTTTAAATTTTACTTATTTAGGTCCCAGAGATTGAACCCAGGGCACTTAACCACTGAGACACATGCCCAGCCCTTTTTTAAATATGTTTTATTTATTTATTTATTTATTTATCTATCTATTTATTTATTTATTAAAGAAAGAGAGAGAGAGAGAGAGATAATTTTAATCTTTTATTTATTTATTTATTTATTTATTTATTTATTTATTTATTAAAGAGAGAGAGAGAGAATTTTAATCTTTTATTTATTTATTTATTTTTAGTTTTTGGCAGGCACAACATCTTTGTTTGTATGTGGTGCTGAGGATCGAACCCCGGCCACACGCATGCCAGGCGAACAGGCTACCGCTTGAGCCACATCTCCAGCCCTAATATGTTTTATTTTGAGATAGGTCTCACTATAAGTTGTTTAGGGCTTCATTAAGTTACTGAGGCTGGCTTTGAACTCACAATCCTGCCTCAGCCTTACAGGTTACTGGGATTACAGGCGTGGGCCACCATGACGGACTTCATTTGTGTATTTTGTAGGTCCCCTCCAAATGTTGCCCAAGCTCCTTTACTTCTAGATTTTGGAGGAATTATTTGATTATGAATATGTGCTATTTGAAAGAGGGTATATCTTTCAAGAAGTCCAAGTAGATYGATCCCTCTTTATGGGCTCTAACACAGCAAGAGGAGTGCCACTGTGGCAAGTAAACACTGTTTTCATAAAAAAAGAACACAGGTTTCTATAGATAGCATTTAACATTCATTCATCATAGAAAACCATCTTGAATACTAAGATGCTTTAATATGAAAACTTACATTACTACACACCCAGATATTACTAGGAAAAATGTCACATTCCACAGTACCTATTCAGATGAAATTTTTAGCTCTGAGATGATATTTTGTATTGAAAATTGAGGGCTCTGGGTATAGCTCACGGGGTAGAGAGCTTGCCTAKCATGTACAAGGCATTGGGTTTGATCCTCAGTACTGAAAAAGAAATTGAAGTAATACACCTCTAATCCTGAACATATGAATCTCCCTTCTTGATTGTAAAACCCAACCAACCAACCGAAATATAAGCCCATAGACTTTAGAATTTTCTCATGAATTATCTCCAGTGATTGATATGCTAATGATAGAGTCACTAGTATCTCTTGTTTTCAATAGAGAGTGTTAATAAATAAATAAGTAAACCTGGCCTTGATAAGCAACATTTAAAGAGTAGATGTTAAAATACTACATGGATCTGATTTGCAGGATGTATGAAGGGAATGGCCTACAGTAGGTGGTTGCCCAGGCAAGACACCCCTCAAAATGGTACTGTATGACCCATAAAGGGAAGATATACATGAATCTACTTTTTGATTATGGACTTAATTCATTTCAGTTACTTACAAAGGAGTTATGCAAGTGACTGTATAGCAAATATCAAAATGGTTCAACTTAATAGAAAATAGCAAAATTGATGAGAGCTTTCATCTTATCTTAAATTCTATAAAGTCAGGAAAAGCTGACTATTGACTTTTGTTCTGGTGAATATGATTCACACTAATAACCAAACTATGTCAGTCTGGGGCAAATTAGCCTCTCTTTTCCCATAAAGGCAGTCTGCGGCTGTTGTTTTTTGTTGTTGTTGTTGTTTTCCTTTACCTTTGGTTTAGAATTATTCAAATGAAATCTTAAGTCATTCAGAATAATCCCTTCATACTGTCAAAGAGCAATGGTGGAAAAACAAATTCACTAGCTTACATTATCCTGAAATTTACCTGACTTATTAATTTGATTATTTTGTCAGATAATGTACATTCTTAAATGTAAATCTGTAAATTGCAAGTGTAGTTGATTCGAAAGTATCATCTTTAACTTTAGTCTCAATTGAAACCCAGAACTAAGTAGATTCTGTTTACATGTTGCTCTATATAAGAACTAACAAAAATTCAGATAGCTCCAAATATGAAATGCTTTGATGTGTTATAGCATATAACTTTAGACTTATTTAGAATTTAACCATTAGGATTTGAGTGTTATTTCATGATAAGCCAATTGCATGATGTTAAAACGAATATCTCAGTAATATTTTTTTAAATATCTTATTAGGTGGAACCTCTGCTAGCCAGACAACTATATTATTTTGCTCAACARAACAGTGGACATTTCCTAAGGGGCTATGATTTACCAGAACACATTAGCAGTCCAGAGGATTACCACAGATCTATCCGCCATTCCTCCATCCAGGAGTGAAAAAACTGTCAAAACAACTAAGTTTGTTTCATGATAAGTACCAAGCTTTGACAAGGACAGCTGATGGACCACCCTTTTCTTCTTTTGAGCTCATCAAGAATATGTACAGCAACCCAGCGGTATCTGATTGACAGATGCACTTATGCATCTACCAGATCCCACAAGCAGATTTTTCCTATTGACTGTCATCATTGGCAATAACTGTGAAAATTACCAAATAATGTGTTTACATTTACTTCAATGCTGGGTTACTTCTTACTTGAAGACTGAGAAAACTTGTATTTCAGCATCAAACCACCAATTCTTATGAGAAAAGCACTTAAGTAATCTATCATTTCTCAGGGAAATAAAGTCTAAATTGGAGACTACTCTAACCGCTTCCCCCCTCCCCCAAGAAGTGTATTCATGTGTGCAGTAGCTGTAATTATCATGGGAAATGATTGCTGAATGAATGGACCAGAATCTTGGCCTGAGGCTGAGCCATAGTGCTCTGGGCTGACCCATCTCCCCATCTGCATGGGGTCTTCTCAGGGTGGGCTCCACCCTGCATCACATTTGCTTCCTCTCCCGGCTTCCCCTGGAAGCCAGTTGGTAGTCTCTGTTGCCATTTTCTTGAGACAAAAAGCATTAGGGCTACTCTTGGRTGGGAGATTTTTGTCTGTCCTACATTCTAGTAATAATGACAGATTACATTTCTTTTTCAGTTTGTCTTTTTATTCTTTGTATTTCATTCTTTAGAAATTGCTAAACGTTTTTCTTAAAGAAGAAGAAAAAAGGCAGACTATTAATAATCTAACTGCCAAAAAAGACACATTTTCAAAACTCCACGACATTTCCCCTCTTTTGTTTGTTTTGTTTGGCTCTTGGGTAGTATCCATGGCGATCCTAAGGAGGAGGAGCCAGTGGCCCAGGTTGTGAACTTGTCAGGACACCCGACCAACTGATTACATAACTGCAGACTCAGTGGGCTCTTTCTGCTTATTTTGTGTATTAGATGCTTCCTCATGCCAACAGTAGTTTGACAAGGCCTTAAAATCACTGAGATTTTTCTAAATACTTTTTTTTTAAATGAGAATTCCAAAGATCCCCACTTGCTTTTGTAAACTTCACTCCTTACTTTCTTGCTTTTTCATTAGACTGAAGTACTCCAATATTTTTTTTCTCCTTCTACAAAATAATTGCTTTTATTTCCAGGCTCAGAGTTGATAGTTCTCAAATAATGTGCCAATCCTCCCCTAATGTTTAGTCTTTTAATTCATTCAACAACATATAAAATGCCTGCTGTATCCCTTGTGTTACACAGATTATAGCATTTATCAAGTTCAGTAAGCAATCAAGTATTGGGGTGCATTTTTAAAAATTTTTACAAAGGGATTTTTAGTACTAAAACAATACATATTAACTACAGAAAATGTGAGCAATCTAGAAGAAGAAAAAACAGAAGCTTTTTTTTTTTTCAAACCAAATCCCCCTCCCTAGAAGGAGCCACAAAGAAGAATTCAATTTATTCTTCCAACACACTTCAGTTTTCTATAAGTACACATAAACTTAAGAATCGTTGTGGGATTCCAGTGCAATGTCCTCAGTTTGGTTTAAGATATCTCAGTAGCCCCACAGCAAGGATTTGTTGGTCAGCCAATATAGGCTCCACAAACTGCAGCAATTTATACATCTTATAGATGCATAGTATTTTGGGATATATTATCCTAGGAGGATATGAAATAAAATTAGAAACTGCTGTTTTCCAGGGCACCCAGCCTGTGGTCTTGCTCACTGGATGATATTTAACCCACTGCACCTCCCTGAAGCTCCTTAGACTCTGTCTCAAGTGAAATACATACTGGATTTTTAATTGCTGTGTGAAATATATATATATATATATATATTTAGTTTGTCCTCAGTGGAAGACCCTGTTAAAGGGTTCAGATACTTGTTGTGTGCTAAAGAGCACTGGATTGCAGAGTAAGAAATCTTCAGGCCCCATTGGTGCATGTTTGTATCGTATTTCTTGTTCTTGGGTGTCATTTGTTTAGTAAAACTTCGGGACAGTGTGTTCTGGAACACTATAGAGAACCAAGTGAATGACTCCTTTAAAACAGAAACCTTGAACCATCCTCTCAGTCTGTGTTTGGATAGAAGTGGGTCCTGGACTAAGGCACAAATGAGGATTCCTTGCCATGCCGTGTCATTGAGTATGAACCCCAGCATCTTTTTACTAAAACAGTAACTAATACCAAATAATAATAATAATAATAATAATAATAATAATAATAATAATAATAATATTTGGTATTAGTTACTGTTTTAGTAAAAATGATGTGTTTTAAATCCCTTTTTATTCCTCTCCAATGACAGTCTTTCTCTTCCCCACCAGCAAATGCTTTACTGATATAGTGAGATTTCTTAAGGTCTCTATTTTTATCACCCATCTCCCTAAATTATTTGTAGTTGGCTGCATCCATTTTAAAGTTGCATTAAGGCTCCCATACTATTTGCATTTACTATGCCATACTCATCATCTGGCTAGTTGCTTCTTTGCCTGGCCCAGGAATCAAGCCTTGTGGATATAGGTTTTGGACCAACATTTCTTTTTTGTATTGCAGACTAGCCTATGATGTGAATGCAGTAAAGGTCAATTTTCCTGGTATTTATTTTCACTGCTTTATGGAATATGTGCATGAATGTAGTGGAAATGTAGGGGAAGAGAATGGAGATGTGGAGGAGAAAAGAAAAGGTCAAGAAGTTAATCCTTCTTGTATTTCTGTAAATATATATTCATGAATTTTTATGTAAATTTCCTTTTTAAAAATATTGATTGTGTGATAATGGCATGTTCTTAAGTAGTCAATAAATAAAGACTTTTTTAAAAAAAATCTGCTATGGGACATGTGTGTTATTAATACTCATCAAGACAGCTCTTTAAATACTTCCTTCTTCTGTTAGGTCTTTTCAGTAAGGCTGTTTCAGCAGCCTACTTCCTTCCTGGTAGTTGTATGTGTCCCTGAAATCAGATCTCAAAGTGCTCCGCTTGTTAAAAAAAAAAAAAAAAGCTATAGGTTTTAAATCACACTTTGCCTGCCTGCCTTGCATCTGCTTCCTCTTCCCTATACCTATGTTTTTAAGGGTCCACTAGGACCCAGAAATTTGTTTTTTGTTTCCTTTTATATTCAAAACTCCTCTGATTTTTTTTTGTTGTTGTTGTTATTGTTGTTCTTAAAGGGGAAGACATATAGATTAACCACTATGGGTAAAGGCTCTGGGAGTACATGGAGTACCTTGGGGGGTCCTTTTAGCTCAGATGCAGTTTCTTCTGCTCTGAGCAGCTGGGCATGGGAGTCTCCTTTCTTGGCTTTATTGTTCATTACTTATGTAGCTGGGCCCCTCTGGACTCACTCACTTTCAGTCTAACAGGAAGACTGCCAAGCAGCGAGGCTGCAGCCCGAGCATGGTGACACATGTCTGTAATCCTGGCCACTCAAGAGTTAGAATCAGGAAGATCACAAGTTCGAGGCCAGCCTCAAACAATTTAGCAAGAGCCCCAGCACCATAGTGAGACCCTGTCTCAAAATAACAAAAATAAAAGGGCTGGGATGTAGCCCATTGGTAAAACACCCATGGGTTCAATCACCAGTATCAATTTTTTTTTAAAAAAAAATACTAGTTGAAGATCACATGGAGTTGTCAGAGAGCTTATAGATTGGACATAGGATAATTTTGAATATCGGGGTAATTTTGAATTTGCTAAATGGTAATCAAAAAGAAATAATGAAAAATAAACTATTACACTACTTTGGGGGGGGACTCTATTTTCTCCACAAATATGGACGACTCAAGCCAGTATACATGGGCGATATTTTTTCAAATAATATATTGACTGCTTACTAGTATCTAAAAAAATGTCTCCAAGGGATTTTGAACCCTTGAGCTTCTTCTTAAGTAATTTATGCCTCTTTTGGGTACCAGTGTTTTCCACCTTTCTTTATAGTGCCAGTTTGTGTTGTATTCAGTCTTCTACAAGCGGTTGTTGCCATGACAATTCAATACATTTATATCAAGCACATGGGCAATGCTCATCTATGCCAGAAAAACACTGAGGGTTGGTACCTCATTTTTTTTCTAGGACAGGTTATACCTAAATTAACCCAGCATAACAGATAGCCTCTAAGTCAGTATCTATGAATTATATGGTATTTGAGAGCATCCAGGATATTACTTTCCTTAAACTCTGGCTCCACCAGTCTGACCATGTATGGGCAAATGGCTGTCCTCAGATGTCCTCAGAAGAAGTCCCCTCCCCTCCCCTGGGAGACTTCCCCTGCTGCTATCTGCTCACCTGGCTAGTGCCCTTCTCTATGAAGTCTCAGCTGGTATGTCCACTCTTTCTAGAAGCATCTCTTCAGTTCTCATGCATACACTCTATGAAGAATGACATTTCTGAGGCATCAAGGAATAATTTCCCCACTCTGTCCGTCCCTACACTTCCTCCCCATGCATTGGGGCCTTTGGGGCCCAGGCATCAAATATTGTGCCCACCTGGTCTCCTTCCTGAGACTAGAGAAACAGTCTGGGGAGAGCAGAGGAGAGAAGAGAAATCTTCACAAGTCATRAGTGAGAAAGTTCTAGCCTCTCCCTGTTAATAGGAGGATCGTCATTGATTCCCGGGAAAAGACTTGAGGGACAGTGAACCTGAGAAAAATTTGTTGGAAGGAATGGTGAGAAACACAGGTTATGAAGGGGACAGGCACAGAAGAATGATGGGTGACCCCATTGGTTGCTCAGGTGGACCAATGAGTATTACATGGAGTGACCCTGGGAGTGAGGTCTGAGTACAGACAGAATGGAGGGGAAGATCTCTCCAAAATAAAGGTGCACACACACACACACACACAAACACACACAGGCCCCAGTGTTATAGAAGCTGTACAAAACTTATTCCCAACTCAAGAAAAGGAGAGGGATCCAAAATGAATTTAACTATCACTCTAGTAGAATAGAGATTAAAATAAAAATTATA